ATTTGCTGCATTGTCACCAGTTCCTCCAGAAAACGGAGAGGACGTCTCTACCCATGGAGGGGCAACTGACTTCCTTTATGCCAGAAATCACTGAATTCATGTCATTTCAAAGGAAAAAACTCATCTATGCTTGGCTTTGATTTTCAAATTTTGACTTACATTAATCTGATCTACTATTTTGGGTCTAATGAACACTAAGAATTTTGCATGTGCCTCATCTTTATTCAATACACAAAACTGTTTTTGCATTCATGAGTCGAATCCAGGTCAATGTTTTCCAGGATTGGTTTAGGAATGCATGTTCTGTGCTGAACACTGCTCCTTTACAGAGGTGTAAAGGAGCAATTTTCCTGGATGTCAGTTCCTGGTCTGCGGAACTGAGTAAATAGCATCACATTGATGAATAAAATCCTTCCTGGCAAACTCAGCAGCTGAACCTGAGACAGCCTCGTAACCAGCACGTACAGCTGGTTACAAAGAAAGACAAACCATCTCTGCAGAAATATTCGGAAGGAATTATTACCTGCATTTTCAGAATGGGAAAAGTATTTGCACAATCTCCCAGTATCTCACCATCAATGCCCCATCGAGCCACTGTTTATGAAGCAACGTTATGAAATGTCACCAGAGTTGTTGGGTCACCGAGGAATTTGCAATCCTCCAGCAAAATCATGAAAACTCCATTCCAGCTCAACTTTATTAATGCTTTGAAGTAATGGAGGGCAAAACTCAGGTGAAGTCAGACCGAGGGCTTTAGTCTGGGATTCTGCTGACAGCTCCAGAAACGCCAGTCCTGTCTCGCTTGCTGAAAGTGCATAGCACCATGCATGGGTAAGTAATCCTGTTTGGACTCCTGCTAAATTGGAACTGGTCCTGAGCCAGCAGTAAGACAAATCAGGTTCTGTTTCTAATTATTCCATGATTGCTTTTTACAGCAGCTGGGAGTCTAGAAGCAAAGGGCAAGATCTTGTGTTACACCAATATTGGACAGCCAGACTCGGGTAATCAGGGAGGCTCCGGACCATCTCTGGGTCCTTGGAGAGAAGGGAGAACAAAAACTGGCTGGGAGGAGAGGACAGGGTCAGGGGCACAGCCAACACGGACAGAGATGTCCACTGAAATCAGAAAAGGAGACAAATGCACAGGGACCACGAAGATCTGCAGACATCTTCAGAGCATGAGCATCTTTCACCTGGGGTGCAGCTCCTGGGGTTCACAGACTCCCAAGGGAGAGCCAAAAAGGAAGACAAGGGAGATGAGAACGTGTATTCCTGAATGCAGGATAAACAGCAATAGTGGCAAGAGAGTATCACAGTGCAAATCCGTGATACACGAGTTCAGAACCTTACTCAATGGATGCCATGCTTAGGGTGAAACACAATTAGGAAATTAATGAAAAAAAAAATCTGGAGCATGCATGGAACATGCTCAGGCCTGGAGAAGAACTTTGGTGCCTGTAGACTTGTCCTTTTTACCCATGTGTGCAAGCCTGGCTTCTGAAGACAGAAGTTGCCTCATATGGGAATTAATTAATCTACTGCAAAAGGAGAGTTCCTGGTTTTAAAAGGGCTGAATACACAATGCAATTTATCAAGCAGCAGCCTGAACGTGCTTCAGTAGGACTTAATTTGCCATAGTTTGAAACATCTGCTTGTCAAGGAGCTGCTTTATATGCAGAAGGAGTGTAATTCGACTCGCCTCTTGCTCCTGGACCCACGCTTTGCCCCAAGGCTCACAGCCCCAGCTGTACAATACCAAAATATAATCTTGAGGCCATGCAGTTCACCATGTGCTGAAGGAGCCTGAAACGATCATTGTGCCTTTTGATGCACTATATAAAACAGGAAAATTGTGCACGTAGCTCTGGACAAAAAATCTGCAGTTTTTAGGACTTGTTGCCTGGTAGAGGACATGTAACCCTTAGGTTTCTACACAAGCCTTTGACACAAAAAGTGCTGGAGAAGTTAACTGCAGGCAGGGCAATCCTAAGTGGTTTAGTGTTAAGTGTCAGTGGGGCAAGTGCAGTTTTTGACCATCTGCATTGAATTGCAGCATTGATGGGGCAAGTGCAATGTTTTTGACCATCTGCATTGAATTGCAGCTGGGCCGGTGGCACAGAACTGCACGATTTAGAGCTCTTTGCTCTAACCCTCAGTATATGGGCAGCTCTGGAGAGGCTCCATGCTCTCGAGCACTGCTCATGAAAATTAATACAGCAGTTGCATTAATTGCAAATTCAACCCAGCTGTCACTGCACATATGGATACCTACTGCACATTGCTGGCTGCAAGAGGATTGTGCCAACTAATGAGTGAGAGATCCAGCGACCCAAATGATGAGGAAACACCTCTGTTAGTGCCCATGCTATGTCATGGGCTTGAGATGGGCAGGTAAGTTGTCCAGGCTGTGCAGGCTGCTGCAAGATCTCAATGATTAAGGTCTTTGCTATAATGAACTGTGAGGCTCTGGACACGAGAGACAGGAATGCAAGGGTTAAGCAAATTGCTTATTTACAAGGACTGTTTTAGGAGTGGCACCATCAGCTCCCTCTGGTCCTGTGCTTTGCAGTGCGTTGCTGTTTGGGCATTCATGTCATGGAGGCGTGCCGCATTTCCCCAGGAAAATAAAACCTATTTTTCTCTTCACAGACTGTTAGTGTAGCCTGGGACTTTGGGGTGTGCAGGGACATGGTTTCCCTGCTATTTGAGGAAGTTGGGACATTGCACATGCCAAAACCAAAGCAGCAACATATTGCTCACCTTAAAGAATAGATTAGAGAACGGTAGATCATGGGCATAAGTTCCAAAGGGGGTTGAAACAGAGCATGTTTGTGAGCTCCGTGCCAAAGTTTCACTCTGCAGTCTCTGATCAGCAGCAGATCCAAGTGTCCTTCCAAGTATATTAAATGACCAAGAAATGAAGCTTGTATATATTTATGATGGTGCAATTCTGTATTGCTGCAAGTGAAATCAGGTACTTGGGACTTCTTAAAACAATGTTTTCAAGGTTCGTGTTTTCAAAAGAATAAATCCAAGTAAATTACTTTCCTTTGTACTTTATCAAAGGATTAAATTCTCCTCAGTGAAGTGAAAAGTCATTTTTTTCCTTCAGATTTACTGTCCATTGTAAAAGGTAGCAACATTTTTCACTTTTCACTGTTTTTTCTCTTTTTATTTGTTTATTTACTTTTTAAATATCGATTATTTACACTATGTAAAGGAAAGGTGTAAAACTTGGTACTGTAAAATCACGAGTCAAGATCTTGGGTAAAACAAAGAGAAATTTGTTCCAGTGAGCAGGAGAAAATAGTGCACAGCAGAGAGCAGCTTCCTGGGGATTATTGCCATGCTGAACTTTTAAGTGCAGCCTCTCAGGTAATGCAATAAAAGTAAAAAAACAAACAGGCTCCAGCTCCAGGAATCAGGCAGGAAATATTGTTAAATAACTTATTACTCACATTGATCTTCTCTTGTCATATTCTCATTGTGTCTATATTGATCTGAGTTTGAGGCAGCTGGAGTCTTTCACATTTCCTGATATTCAAGAGTTTAAAATAGTGATAAAATGCACATTAAAACTGAATGGCCTCTGCAATATAGAAACAAATAGAGATAAGGCTATTGTCTAACGTCTGGGTCTAAAGATTAAGAGGCGTTTGTGGGCCAGACACAAGTGTTTACTGAAAGGCCATTTAGCGCTATGATTGCAAACTGTAGAGCTTTTTATAAGCGCTCTTTGGGACTGAGAGTCTTGACTTAACAGGCTGTGTCATAGCAGAGTAATAGTACAATAGTATCTTTTCCTACTAATTTGTGTATTGGAGAAATTGGGGCAGGAAGGGCAGAAGGGGCGAGCTTTGCTAAAGGAACGTGAATGCACATCTGCATGTCTTTGTGCTGTGGCCACCACAGCATCGTGATTTCCGAGTGCACCAATAAGGAAACCCATTGGTGGCCGTTCTCGTAGGGAGTGTTGGGTTGGTGCTGGCAGGATGGTAGCAGGGTGGATGCTCCTTCCATTTGGCTCTTCTCCCGCTACGTAGGTTATGGAGGTGCTGCTTGCCTGGCAAGAAGGTCTCCAATGGGTCCCTCCTCTGCTCTGCCAAGTCTGGCCATTTTGCATGCAAGTCCCTTTTAACCACCTGCTAACCAAGTATCCTTCATGATTCTGTATAATTCCCTTCACTTCTCACATTTTGATCTGCTATGTCCAGTCATTTCCTGTGTCGTGTTCAGTCATTTTGCATATTCTGTCCAGTTACCGTAACCTCAGAGCAGGTCAAAGTCAACAGCCAGAAATTTGCCTAAAGCTCCATCGCTTTCTATTAACCAGGAATTTCTAATTACAGTCAGTGAAGAGATTGTGGATAAGTTTGAAAATGATCCACAGAATTGACCCTTGTGCCTCATCTATCCTATGGTGTCATAGAATTATATTTGGTACTTGAGCAGCCAATATTAAAACAGATTAGGCAAATATTAATTCAAACCTTTGCATTCACCCACAGTTCACCAAGGTGTGGAGGTGTTTGATCCACTGCATTGTTTGGTCCCTGACAATTGCTAAAGAGTGAGTGAATGGCTCCTTGCATGATGAATGGAAACAACATGACTAATCACATGCATAGACTTAATCATACACTGAATTCTTTCCTTGACCAAAGTTTAATTCTACTTTACATTTGTATTGATTAAAAATACTTGAGAGTACTACAAATGACAAGAAGAAATATGTTGTGTGTATTTTTTTCCAGGGCATGAACTCCTCCTGTGGGCAGCAAAAACACATCACACCTCAAGACGTAGAAAAAATTATATGATAAATCACAATTCAAGGACAGAATAAAAGAGCAAGGAAGGTGATTTAATATTTCACACTTAATGAATTCAGTATGAATAGTTCTGAATTGTTCTTATCTTCACCCAGAAATATATGTTCAAATGATGTATATACCATGAGTTTATCGCACTTGTCTGAGGTGAATGATTAGTGAAGGCCCTTTATGTTTTATGGTGCTGCAGGGAGAATAGCCTCCTCAGCATGAGGAGCCTGAGGACACCCCTGCGAATCTGCTTGGTCTTAATGCTGTAGATGATGGGGTTGAGCACGGGGGGCACCAGCAGGTAGACGTTGGCCATGAGGACGTGCACGAGAGGGGAGGCATGTTTGCCAAAACGGTGCACCATGGACAAGCCAAGCATGGGGATGTAAAGGATGAGGACGGCCAGGATGTGGGACAAGCAGTTGTTTAAAACCTTGAGGCGCTCCCCTGGGGATGCAGTGCTCACCACTGCCTTAGCAATCAGGATGTAGGACACAAGGATGAGCACTGGGTCCATCACAACTATGAGGACAATTATAGCTAGTCCATACATGCTATGGAAGGTGACATCTGCACATGCCAACTTGATCAAATCCTGGTGCAGGCAGTAGGAGTGGGACAGCACGTGGGAGCGGCAGGAGGGCAACCTACTGGAACTGCAGGAATAGCTGCAAAGATGCATCTAAACATGACAGCCAGCCCGATCTTGGCTATCCTGGTACCACTGAGGATGGAGGAGTATCTCAGTGGGTAGCAGATGGCCACATAGCGATCAAAGGCCATGGCCAGAAGCACTGAGGACTCCAAGAAGGAGAAGTAATGGACAAAGCAGACCTGAGCAAAACAGGCATCAAAAATGATTTCTCTGTAGTTGGCCCAGAAAATGCCCATCATGGTGGGCATGGTGGACAGAGAGAGCCCCAGCTCAGTGACGGCCAGCATGGAGAGGAAGCAGTACATGGGCTTGTGGAGGCTTGGGTTGGTGCCGATGACAAGGAGGATGGTGCAGTTCCCCAGCAGAGCCACTACATAGAGACACGTGAAGGGGATGGAGAGCCAGAGGGTGGCAGCCTCCAGCCCCGGGATGCCCGTCAGCACAAAGGAATAGCTGGAGGAGTTGGAGCCTCTGGAAGGCCCCATGATGCAGATGACACCAAACCTGGGAGGAGTGGCCGATGCTCCCAAGGGCTGCGCTTCCATTCAGAGGGACCTGGACAGGATGGAGAGTGGGGCAGAGAGGAAGCTCATGAGGTTCAACAAGGACAAGTGCAGGGTCCTGCACCTGGGCAGGAATCACCCCAGGCACCAGCACAGATTAGGGGTTGACTTGCTGGAAAGCAGCTCCACGGAGAGGGATTTGGGAGTCCTGGCTTTCACCAAGTTGCCCATGAGGCAGCAACGTGCCCTCGTGGCCAAGAAGGTCTCCTGGCTGCATCAGGAGGAGGATTGCCAGCAGGTCAAGGGAGGGGATCCTGCCCCTCTGGGGAGGCACTTGGAGCATTGGGGGCAGTTCTGGGCTCCCCAGGACAAGAGGGATGTGGAACTTCTAGAGAGGGTCCGGTGGAGAGCGACAAAGATGATGAAGGGACTGGAGCATTTGTCGTATGAGGAAAGACTAAGCGAGCCGGGACTGTTCAGTCTGGAGAAGAGAAGGCTGAGAGGAGATCTGATCAACACATTGAAGTAACTGAGGGGCGATTGTAGGGAGGATGGGGCCAGCAGGACGAGGGGTAACAGGTGTAGATGGAAACATAGGAATTTTAATCTGCATGGGAGGAAGAACTTCCTTGGTGTGAGGGTGCCGGAGCCCTGGCACAGGCTGCCCAGAGAGGCTGTGGAGGCTCCTGCTCTGGAGATCTCCAACCCTGGATGCGCCCGGGTGCCCCGTGCTCTGGGTGTCCCTGCTGGAGCAGAGGGGTTGGACGAGATGATCTCTAGAGGTCCCTTCCAACCTCAACCGTTCTGTGATTCTGTGAAATGGGAGCACCTACATTTAAAATAAAAATAAAAACATGGAAGAAGAAGGACATTGCTCACAAACCAGAAAACTCACATGCATATTTGCATAGTCAAATGGTATACACTTTATAAATCACCCAGTTTCATAGCATTCATTATTTATCTCTTCTTTGATGACTATGGGGTAAAATACCCAGTAATGAGGGTATAGCTTAGATCACAGCATCAGGGAGTCAGGAAGATTAGCACCCTTCTCAATATATTAGAAGTTCCTGCAAATGATGTTTTTTTAAAAAAAATAAAAGATCATTCATTTAGAGTTATGATTCACGATTAAATCATATATGTTCATCTCACACTGAATTTGCTTTCTAAATTCCTGTGATTCAGATTTCTTCTTAATAGCAGAATTACAATTCTCTGAGTGTAATTGGTAAACATAAATGGTTTTCAGAAAACTTGTAATTATTCAGCCAATAAAAAAGAAAGGCATAATGATTGATGAGAATTTATAGCATAAAAGTAGTGCTTGTTTCCAAAGGCAAATTGACCTAAAAATGCCCACTTGTCTCCTTGTCGTGGACAGAGATGGCGTTTCAATAGATCCCAGAAGCAAAATATGACCCAGTGATGGGAAACAGAAAGGAGAGAGCACTGACAAAAATCTTCATTTTTTTTTGGAACTGTAAAGCCAAGAACAGATTTTTTTCTGAGATTTTTGCCTAGACTTGATAAGCAAGTCAGATATGAAATTCATCTGGAAGTTTGATGCAAGACATCAGAACAAATCACCACAACAGTATTTTCTAGATCTAATATTTTCTAACTCTCCTGTAACTGGGGAGAAAAACAAACCAGTGAACAAACATGAATTAAGATACTGATCTCAAAAGAACAGAGAAAAGGGATTAAACACTTTTTCCTTATTTTGCCCCTGAGCACCTTATAGTTAACCCTGTTACCATCAGGATGAGGCTCTGTAAGTGCCGCCTGTGCAGGTAGAAGCCTCACCGTGACGTTCCTGCCCTCCTACATTTCAGGAATGAACTCAGTCCTGTGGCAGAGGCTCCGTCCTGGCTGCAGCGGGAAAGCCGGAGTCAGAGCCAGCACTGAGCACAGCTGCTCATAAAGTCTCTGTGAAACCCCCACGGGCAGCCTGGATGAAGGGACTCGTGGGAATAGACAAAATCATTAGGAAATCAGCATCAAGCCTGCCTTTGCTCCTAGGAAAGAGCTGGCAGCCTGGGATGCACAACAACCTCCATGAGTTTTGGGGTGCAAGTCCCTGCAATGCAAGTGACCCTATAGACACGCACCCGGGACACCTCCTCTGCACCGTACTGCTGCAGCATGAAGTGTCGTTGGGTCTGGAGAAGCCTCCTGAGCCCTGGCTTTGCCTGAGAGCCCAGAAAGGGGTTCCTGTTGTCCTGTGGAGGGTTTGGGGACATGCTGCCAATGGTGTGTGCAAGCTGCGCTCTGGGGTTGGCAGAGCAGCCAAGGCTCCTGCATGTCCATGACATTGCAAACTCATTCATGTCCCATCACCCAATGAGCCCAGGGCAGCAGTTGCCCCATGCTCGTGCACACAGTGATCTGGCACCTGGTCCAAATTCCACCATCCTGTGGTGGAGGAGGAGCTCTGGGCCAAACATCTGGGGTTATCAGCAAGTGTCTTCCAGGTCCTCACTGCTCCTCTTGCAGGAAAACGGCAAAGCTTGCAAATGGTTCCTGCCCTTTTTGGCTCTTTTACAGAGAGCCTCTTCCTCTAGCTTGCTCATCCCAGGAGGAAGTAATGGGAGAGGTGAGAGGTATAACTTCTGACCGGAGAGAATTTGTCCTCTGTGGCCCCACAATCTCCACCACTTTGCTTATCCTTATTTCCTGCTTTTTTAAGCTCTCTCTGCTGAAGTTTTGATTATGGAAACAGATCTTTCAAATCAAGGGGCGTCTGTGTCATTCTGCTTTTCAGACGTCCCCCCATAACATGGGAAGATGCAGCAGCTGAGAGGCTGTTTCTCCTCAGTTTTGGAGGTGCAATATCACCAAAGAATTCCCACCTTTTAAATGTGGTGGATTCTCCCAGCCCAGGGTCTTGCCTCCTTATCACGCTCTCAGCGGTTCCCCATTGGGATGGACCCCTCTAAGCTCTATGTTGATTTTAATTTGTTGTCCTACATCTGCTTTTCTTGCAGAACGGTTGGTTTTCTCCCCGAGGTGGTGAATGGTGTGTGAGGAACCTCTGTCCTTTCAGAGGGAACTTGAAGGGGCACTGACAATGTCAGGAGACAAGTGTTCAGAGAAGGACTAAGAACCCTGCAGGCAACAGACGATCATTTCTCTGATAGCTTCTATCGATCTGAGGCTTGGGCACTTCCTGAACTGAGCTGTGTTTTGCACTGAATATTCCCTAATGGATTTTTTTTCCTGCGGATTTGTCCTGTTGCTCATTTAAGCCCCCGCTGACTTTTGGCGTCTGCAGCTTTCTTTGACAAGATGTTCCAAACCTTAATCCTGTTGAGCAAAGAACATCTTCAGTAACTGGTTTTAAATTTGCCACCTGCTAGTTTATTTAATGAGTCCTGGTTCTTGTATTAAAAGAGACAGAGAATAGTTACTACTAAGCACCCTGTTAAAGTCACGGCATTTTACAGGCTGCTTCCCCACCCAGGTAGTCATCTCTCTCTCAGATGAAGAGCCCAAGCTCACCCAGTTCTTCCTTGCATGGAAATACTGTAGGACTTGGATTCTCTTGCTGTGTCTCCCCACAGCCTTTCCGGTTCCTGCGGAATGAGAGAGGATCTGCTTCATTGGAGCTGTCAGAGCAAGGACTCTTTTGCTTCAGAGGGAAGGCAACAGGGAAAGTGATGAACAAAACAGTGGAGACACGGGCTTTGTAGAAAAGCAGTGATGGAGGCAATAACGAAGACTAAGACTCTTCACTTGGCCATCTGGATGGGCCATTAAGAAAGCAGAGCTTTGAGGAGGGTCAACCTGGACTTTGTAATGAACAAGCAGGGAGAAACAAGGCTAAAGTGAGAATTATGGATATTCAGGCCTAGAGGGGCTGTTGAACTATGTGACACTTGTAAAAAGATGATCGTTGTGGAAGGGTCAAATGTGGAAGGGTCAAATGTGGGGAAAATATGGAGTTGGGAGAAGCCTGTGGAGAAGCAGAGAGGAGGAGCATGAAAAGTGCCATTCAACACAGTCCTCCAGCCAAGTGTGTGCCAGACCAGTTCTTATTAAAGCCTTTCTTAACTGTCTTTCCGTATGCTCTCTCTGCACCAGCAGCTGGAGAGGCAAGAGTGAACTGAGCACCAGCAAGTGGAGCCAGACCTCAGGCCACCGCAGCATCACCAGGACCATTGAACGCTGCAGATGCCATCCCTATAATCCACCTAACAACTCCGCAATGGACTTCATGGGATGAGAGGCCCAGACCACGTCTAACCCTGAGCAGGCTGGTGCAAATGGGCCTGCACAGAGGAGTAATTGTGTTCTCCGCTTTGTCCTCTGCTGCCAGTTCTCAACAGCTTTGGAGGGATTTTTGACTCATATAAGACATTTAACTGATGTTCTTGGGCAGCATCAATTCCAGTGTGGGATTTTATTATATGATACATGAAGATGGGATTGACTCTTCCCACTAACATTTATAAACATTACATCTGCCTTCTTCTAAGCTCCTCCTACAGTTTTTCCCAGGGCATCCTCCTAATTAATATGAAAAAGTTGACATTATCAAGGCACTTTGTCATTCCTTTCCTATTTATTCCTTTTCCAGATGACTTACAAATGTACTACACTACATTAATACAATAGCTCTGAGGTCTGAGAAAGGTCAGTTGATGGGCAAGTCTGCAGGAAATAGCACATATATAATGAAACATGTCATGGGGAACGTATATGATAGCCTGTAACGAAACAATCATGTACATTATAACCAAAATCAGGTGTGATCATCACTGTTGGTGCTATTTTCCAGATTCATATATTGCATTGCCTAAGTTTTTCTGAGAAAGAGGGCTAATCAAGAAATAAATTGTATTTCATTCATCGTTGACTATTTACTCAGTGAAGAGTAAATATACTTTGCAAGGATTAAGGTTCTTGGTAATGTGAACACGACACACAAAGCAAAGGACTGATTGCACAGCAGTTATTTTACCAGCAATAGAGAT